CATGAAAAGATGCTCAGCACCATGAGTCATCAAGGAAATTAAAATTAAAACCTGCAATGAGATACCGTTATTCACCATAAGGATGACCAAAATTTAAATGGCTGATAATACCAAGTGTTGCTAAGGAAGTAGGACAACTGGGACTCTCATACACAGCTGGTGGGAATTTAAAATGGGACAACCCCTCTAGAGAACATTTTGGCAGTTTCTTAGAAAGTTTTTACCCATACATCTCAGCCTTTGTACTCATAAGTATTTACCCAGGAGAAATCCAGCACATGTCTACACAGAGACTCACATACTGATGTTCACAACAGCTTTATTTATCAGAGCCCCAAACTGGAAACAACCCAGTGTCCATCAACAGATGAGTGCAGAAACACATGGTGGTAAATCTATGCAGTGGAATACTGCTCAGCAGTAAAAAGGGCTACTGATCGTTACAATAATATGGATGAATCTCAAAAACATTATGATGAGCAATACAAAACTCTAGAAATGACAAATCTGTTCATAGCACCAGAAAGCAGATCAGTGGCTGCCTGGGGCTGGGGAAGGGACGTCAGGGAATTTTTTGAGGGATGAAATGTTCTGTATCTTAATTGTTGGGGTGGTTTTAGGGTATAGACATTTTTCAAAACATATGAAATGGTACAATTAAAATTGGTACCTTTCATTAAACACAAACTATACATCAATAGAGCTGATACTGAAAATCCTAACCAGGGAAAAGGTTACCATTGTCATTCCACCAGTGGTTCTAGCACTGTTGAGAGGGGCACTGAGTGCTAGGTAAATGGCTACTGAGTGGACAAATGACCCTGTGACTCCGGAGTCCCCAGAGGAGGTTTCTTGGAAACATCAGGAGTCGAACAGTCCCCTGCTGATATCAATAACCCTCACAGACTGCGGTTCATTTTGAGTTAATGTCTTCACTGATGATTTTAATGTTGGGTGGGAATTCCACGTTCACTCTAATCCCTCCCTACAGGCTGCACTTTAATGGGACATAAAGGAGGGAAGGTGAAAGGACAGAGCCTTGCAGACGGATCCTGCTTCCCACTAGGATGAGGAGGGTTGTTTTCATCCCTTCTTTCTCCTTCAAATCCATTTCCCTGCTGTCTTCCTAGACCGTCTTCAGAGATTGTTTTCAAATCAGGGACAATGTTTCCAGCTTTACATTGGCTCAGGTTACTGGTTCATCCAGAGGCTTCAGGGAACAAAACCAAAAGCCAGATTCCCACTTTGAGAGCCCTTGAACATCAGCATCGTGCCGTAAGGTAATGGCTCTCAACTGGTTTGTGTTTGGGGCACACTTTCCAGCACTGAAATTGTGGGTAGTGCACTCGAAGAAACTTTTTAAAAAAATTCTCAAAACACAAGTCAGTAACCCGTGTGTGTGTGTGTGTGTGTGTGTGTATATATTATATATTATATAATATGTATAATCAATTATGATTATATATATATAATCATAATTGATTATACATATTTTGGGGATTCAATGTTGACATATGTTGATCAAATCAATATTACTAGTATGTCTATTGTTACAAATTATAATTATTCTTTATGCCCCTTGTCCAATCTCTCCCCATCCCTCTCTCCATCTGACCTCCCCCCTCTGATAACCCTAGATTTCTTCTCTCCCTCTGAAAGAGTAATGGTTACCCTGTTGATTTGTTGCCTAGATGATCTGTCCAATGCTGAGAAGTGTGTTCAGATGCCCCAGTATTATCACAGAGCAGATGCTTCTTCTGTCACTCTGGAATGGGCTTTGTGGAGAGAGACATCCTCTTCTTTTCTTTCTCTCTGCTGGTGACTCTCCTTGTGTCAATGCACTCCAGTGGCTGGCGGATCATCTGCGTGGTGGTTGTGGCATCTAGCCACTTTCATGGCAGCTGTGGTTACTGTGGTGGCTATGGTGGGCCACCCACATGGAGATAATGTTTTTGGCATGCTCCTTGGAGGTGGCAGTGTGCCTGGTTGTGGGCAAGGGTGTCTAGTCCCCAGCCCCATGACCCAGGTCCCCAGGCAGGGCCCCAAGGCACTGGTGGTGGGCCTGGTTGGGGGGGTGTCTGGTCCCTGGCTCCATACCTTGGGTCCCCTGGCAGGCCCCAAGGTGCTGGTGGTGTGCCTGGGCTGGAACTAATTTTTTGTCCTTTGCTTACTTCTGAAATGGGGGAACTTCCTGTGGGAACCAGTACTTGAGCGTGTGGTTGAGCTAAATTGCTGCTTTGCTGCTGTTTCCCTAGACAAGACTTTTTGTGCACCTCAGCATTTAATGGTTGACCTTATAGGTACTTCCAGCTCTCCAGAGACCCAGTGCACCTGGGTTGTGTAGAAACTCTGATCTGGGCCTGAATCTTTTCATCAAACTGCAGCCCATGAAGGCTGCATTCCCAACCAGTCTCCTCTGAGTGGTTCTGCACTGATTGGGGGGCAGATCGGCTGTCCTTGCTGTGTCCCAGTGTTCTCCTTGTGGGCCCATCTCCCCCACTGCCTGTGCTCCAAACACTTCATGTGGGACAAGCGCTGTGTGGGTCCCTTGTGATGACTCAGTGGCCTCTGAATGGCTCCCCTTTTTCAGCTGTTCTGGCTCCTCACTCCTGCATGGGTCCACGAAAACCCTATTAGTGGTCTTGGTGGCCTCTAGGCCCTCTTCTCCCTTGCTGCCTCCAAGCAACTCCATGCAAAGGGCACAGCTGTGGCTTCTGCTGGCTCCTGCTCCATGCGCTCAGCAATTCCAGCCTTAAAGCGGCCATGGCCCAAAATGCTCTGAGCAGTTTTTTCTTTCTCTCATTGTGGCTTCTCCCATCTTCATGAACTCCGTAGGTCTCTCCTCCTCTTCCCCTGAGCTCCAGCTGCACCAGCTTGGCTGATGTTACATTTTTATAGTTGTAAATTGGTTGATTTGTGGGAGACAGTGACACTGGGGACCATCTATTCCACCATCTTGACTGGAATTCCCAGTAACCAGTATATATTAATCTCAGTCTAACGATATCATATGTTGATCTCAGTATGACAATATAAAACACATTAATCCAGTGTAACAGTGTAACATGTGTTGGTCTCAGTTAATAATGTAATACAGATTAATCTCAGTGTAACAACGTTTCCCAGTGACTGTGGTGCTCATCCATGGTAATTTCCAGTCATTTCAGCACCGTGTCATTGGGTACTCTAACCTGACTGCCCTAAAATGCTTAGGAGACAAAAGCTTCCACATTCCAGTTATAAGCAGCCTTCATTTCCAGTGCCAGCTTAATTTGGGGCTCTGAGCTAACCACAATCTTATATCATTATTAGTACATCCTTAGATTGTAGCAAAGATGCATTTTACATGGTTGTGAAAACTTGTCAGTGTGAGTATTGAAAATCACTGGTGATAGGGAAAGAATAAAGACTTATGACTCAGGGGACAAAGATTACATCCCCACACTTTAACAAACTCTATTTTTTAGTCTTTTTTTTTTTAAGTAAAAAATCTCATATAGAAAACTTTGAAAACTAAAAAATAAACAAGTAAAATAAGAATCACATATACCCCCAATGAGAGTTAGCCATTGTAAACTATTTTTCCATGTATTTTTCCAGAGTGTATTTGTTTAACATAACTGTAATTTATATAATGCATATATAAATAAATACACCTTTCTGTCCTGCTCTTTTCGCTTAACATTGTGCCCTGAGGATTTTTCTATACTATTTGAAATTTCTCTCAAATATGTTAATTTCTACACATTTATCATCTAGTTGTTCTAGGATTTACTTAACCAATTCAATTGTTGGTGGACTTCTAGATTATTTCTATTTCTTCATTAGTATAAACAACACATTGATGAAGATTTTTGTCCATGAATCTTTGACCAAATATCTATTTCTTGAAGATAAATACCCAAAAGGTGAATGACTGAGTCCAAGGGTATGGCTATTTCTAGTTTGGAAATTTTTAATGTCTCAAAAACCAGAAAAGACTTTGTAGATGATCCCAGCCTTGCTACTTACCAACCATGAGACCTTAGACACATTCCCAAAGTCTCTGTGCCTCAGTTTTTAACCTATAAAATGGGGCAAACAATAGAACCTACTTTAGTTACTGTGAGAATTAAATGAGTAGATGCATGAAAAGTGCTTAGTACATTGCCTGGCACATAGTAGGTGTTCAGTCATAACCATCATCCATTTTTATCTCGACTAACCCCATCATCATCAGAAAAGAGGAGAAATTAAGATACAGAAGGATCAACTGACTTGTTCAAAGCCACACAGTCAACTAGAGCCAGGAGCTGGGACCAGACCCCAGGCCTCTCCTTGACTGACAGGAATAATACATCTTCTTCCACTTATTTGAAACCTCTGTTGTTCATGAATCTATTTCAGGCACCTGTGTCCTTTCCCACTGATCTCACAGCTACCCTGCAAAGATGATATTATCATTCCCATTTTCCAGATGGGGAAACTGAGGCTTGGAGAAGCTAAGTCACCCGTTTTGGGCACAAAGAAAGCTAAGTAGCAGAGCTAGGGCTTAAACCCATGTGCCTCTGGAAACCACCTGCACTCTGTTCTGTTGGGTCAGGTTTCTGGGAGGCCAGGTTTGGAGGCTTGGGTCTGCCCTTCCTTCATAGGCAGCAAGAGAAAAGCCTTCCTGACAAGAATTGCCTCCATGGCAGGCTGGCTCTGAAGGAGGGGAAAAAGCTATGGTGGCCTCGTCCATCCAGTTTCTTCTTCCAAACTCCCTATCAGAGTCCACCCTGACGACGAGGAATGGGTATGTCTTGATGCACAGCAGTGCTCAGGAAGTGCTCCTTCCTGTCCCTCCCTTTCTCATAAGGATCATCCCTTCTAGGGTTGTGATCGTGGAGAAAGTGGCTGGACAGTCTCAGGGTCAAAGCCAGCCTTGAACCATGACCCCCATCACCGGCTCCCAGTGCCACATCCCCCTCGCTTGCTGCTAGATGTGGAATAGTAATGTTCTCTCTTTTACCCTGGTCTAGGGCTTGGTCATTGAGCGTCTGGGACGGAGACCCCTCATCATTGGTGGCTTCGGGCTAATGGCCCTCTTCTTCGGGATCCTCACTATCACACTGACGCTGCAGGTGAGAGGACATACGTGTCACGCCTTGGGGAAGGCCAGCATGGGGCTGGCTCCAGCTTCATCACTTTGGGGCCTTTGGTTTGTGGGGTTTGTACTGTCTACAGACACCTCTTGCAATGCAGCTCTCCCCAGTGGTTTCTCAGCTGTGGAGCTGCTGGGAGTCCCCAGGGAAGATGGTTTGGTGATGTGTCCTCGGGCTGGTAGGCAAGAGATCTGACTTCTGGTCCTGTCACTGCTGCCACTGGTGAGCTGTGTGATCTTAGGCAAGATACATCCCCTTCCTGAGCATCAGTTTACCCATCTATGGGACAGAGGAGATTGCACTAGATGACCCCTAATAAGCCCCTTCCAGCTCTCGCATTGCAGCCGTGGGTGCCGGGCACTGCATATTGGGCACTTCCTCAGTTGTCACCGCATTGACTGGTGATTAACAGCAGGGACTCTGGGGCCAGACTGCCCACATTCGAATCTGGCTTTTCCACTTACTCACCGTAACGCTTTTGGCAAGTCACTTACCCTTTCTGCTCCTCCACGTTCCCTTCCCTTCCTTTCCCACTGGGCTGACTCAGGCTCAGCCTTCAAAGGTGAGCACAGCCTCTTCCCTTCCCCACATCTACGTAGACGGAGTCAGGCAGCCTCTACCGGCACAGCCCCAGCACCTCCACACTCACTCACTGTGTCACAGAACTGGGGACACCATGTGCTAAGGACCAGCCATCCAGTCTGCTAGAGCAGGTGCAATTCTGTAAATATCCTTCCACACGCAGCACCAAGCCACCCCACCCCTGCCAGACAAGCAACAGCCCCCCATCCCTGACACATTCCATGAAATGAATTAACTCATCTCATACCTTGTAGGATGGCAGGGGAACAAACATGGTGCTTTACATCATAATAGTGATAACTAATAAAAACTTTTAAATGGATAATGCCTGTAAAACATCTCATATTGTCTGCTATGCAGACTAAAAACTCAAGCAATGTGTTATTCATTTATTTACCACTTCCTGTATGCCATGTGATAGATGCTGAAACTGGGGCTCGGGGACATAAAGTGGCCTGTCCAAGGTCATGCAGATAGACAGAGGAGGAGCTGGGGTGGGAAAGCAGGTCTTCCAGACACTTGCCCACATCCCTATTCTCTCGCAGGACTGTGCCCCCTGGATCCCTTACCTGAGTATCGTGTGCATCCTGGCCATCATTGCCTCCTTCTGCAGCGGACCAGGTCAGGTGCTCGTCTTTCCTCACCACCTCGCCCAGGGGCTCATGGCACCACAAAGTTGGGGCTCTCCTGAGACAGATGGGGAGCCCAGGGCCCAGAAAGAAGCAAAGCCTGATGGGGGCAGAGCTCTTTGCCCTATTTAAATGCAGTTGGCAGCCTCCATTCTGTCCCACTGACAGTAGGCAATGTGCCCACCCAAAGATACATGGGTGATAACGTCCAACAACACAGCAATAACTAACACCAGTGAGAGCTGTGAGCCATGCGACTGGTCTGTTTGTGATGAATCAAAGATAATCAAGATACAGCTGTGCCCACGGAGAAGTACAGTTCAACATGAGTGACCTAATAATAATAATGACAATGTCTAAGATTTATTGATCACTGAATACGTGTTGTACTTGGCTAAGAACTTGATGTGCATTAACTCACTTAAGGCTCATGACAGTTCTAGAGAAGGCAGACGGAAGGTGATTTGCATGAGGAACAGGTGACAGAGCTGACTGACTCCCAGGCCCAGGCAAGTACAACTTACATGGTACCTGCATGTGTGTGGAGCCTGGAAGTTTCTGAGCCTCAGTTTACCCAGGAGTCACTTCTAGTCCCAGCTCTGCCATTTCTTAGTCATCGGTCAGTGGAACACCTCTCCTCTTCTTGGGCCTCGGTTTCCCCATCTGTAAAATTGCAGGGGTGGAATGAGACTGAGGGCCCTGCCATTCCCTGGCCCTGTGTCTGTGCCCAGCAGGGGCCTCCATCAGAGGCCAATGTGGGACTGAGCAGGTGGGTTCAGGGCAGGCCAGACACAGCTATGCGCTCTCTCCCGTGGCTCTTCTTTGTTACGGTTTCTGTGTTGATGCAAACAATGCTAAGTTTCCATCAAAACAAATGAAGCTGAATATCTGTGTCTCTTTCTGTATTGCTGATTTTCATGGGCCATGATGTTCCAGGTTCGATCATATATGTGATGGACGAAAAGCATTTGTCCCCATCCGGGACATCGGGGTGTTTCAGTGAGATGCAGAGTGAGCCATGGAATGATCGGGGGCCTCGAGCATACACGCACGTGCACACACACCCACGTGCACACACACCCACGCTGTGCTGTGAGGTTGGTCAGATGGCCGGAGGAAGGGGAGGCCACCTCCCGGCAGGGCGGGGAATTAGCAGGAGGATGAGCAAGCAGCGTGTGCTGCGGTTAACAGGGGATTTAAGGAGTAAATGTGTTTAGTCCTACCAGCGAACGCATCACCAGCTCACGGGGCATTCGCATTTGTGGCCCTGGAGATGTCCAGCCAGTGGCCTTGTGCCAGCCTGGGGACCCTGGTGAGCAAACCCAGGCAGAGGCAGTCTCTGCTCTCACAGGCTGTTATGGAAGTCCCAGCTGAGGTGTCCCCTGTTCAGTGAGGCCTCTCCTGACCACTCAGTCTAAAATCAGCACACACACATAAACACATAAACACATACACACACACACACATACATAAACACACACACACACATACACATTCTCTCTATTTCATCATCCATTTTCCTTCCTTCGTGGCGCTTCTCATGGGCTCATCTATTTCCTGCATACTCATTTGTTTAAGGCAGAGATGTGAATGCTTTTTCGATAAAGGGACAAACCATAAACATTTTTTGCTTTAGAAGTCACACATTCTGTGTCACAACCGCTGTCACTCATTCTCTGTCACAACTACTCACCTCTGCCATGGTAGTGTGGACACAACCATAGACAAGGCGTGAATGAATGCATGGCGTGGCTGCATTCGAATAAAACTTTATTGACGAAAGCAGTAGTGGGCCAGATCTGGCCTGTGAGCAGAAGTCTGCTGATGCTTGGTTTGATGTGTGTCTCCAACAGCTAGAAAATAAGGTCGACAAAAAGACCTTGTCTGTGGTTCATGATCTTATCCTGAGAACCCATAATTGTGTCCAGCACATAATAAATGTTCCATAAATGCTTGTTAAAAAAACAAATGAAATAACGGAGGAGAGAGCTGGGAAGGAAGATGTGTGCTTCTGTGAGTGGATATGACAGTGGACCCCGGCCTGGCAGCAGAGTTTTTCATAAGGAAGCCTTGGGAGAGAGAGAAAGTAGAGACAAAAGGCCCCAATTCTGCAGTATTCCTGAAGTTCCTGAAAAGAGGCAGTTGGAGTCTAATGATTTCAGCAAAAATACAGAGGTGGCATTAGCCAATTGGATGTAGTAAAGGGATTAGTCAAGCTAATACCAAAATTCTGTGTTAGAGAAAGAACAGGAATAAGGTTTAATTCCTTTCAAATCAATTTCTCAGGCTTTTACTGAGCACCTGCTCTGTGCCAAGTTGAGGGGAGGGAAAGCAGGGGAAGGCAGGAGGTCGGTAAAATAGAACCAGATGTTTAAAATCTTCAGTCAAAATTGAACAGTGTGTAATGTGATCACATATGTTCACCCACTCTCTCATCCATGCAACAAATACACTGTGCACTGCACATATGACCCAACAGCTCGTTAATCACCTACCCAAGAAATGGTCTTGCAGCTTCTAATCCAACTTTAGTAACTTATAAAACAGTTCCAAGGCCACTGATCAAGACAGATAATCCTTAACAACACGCTCCTGAGCAATGTGCCTTGAACACTTCATATGTGCAGTCCGTCACTTTAACAGCAGTGAATACATGGGTCAGTGTAATGCTAGCTGCCACACAAATACGTCCCCAAATGACAGTACCCTAGCATGACAGAAATTTCTTTCTCATTCATGTAACCATCTATGGCTAGTGTCCCTGGTAAGTGGGTGGCTTGGACCCAAGCTCCTTCTGTGTTGTGGCTCTGCCAGCCCCTGGGGGCTCTTCGTCTCCAGCATCCAATAGGCAGAAGGGAGAATACTGTGGCGAAAGCTTCTTAAGAGGCTTGGCCCAGAGAACACCATCCCTTCCACTCATATTTCAGTGGTGAAGACAACACATTCACAGGTTAGACCTAGATGCAGGGTCTGTGCTTTATACACCAATTTCTTCCAAAGTCCTCAGTGCCAGCCTGAGATCTAGAAAGTTCTCAGCAAGGACCTGTGGAAGGTTTAATTATGACCAGGGAACTCAGATAGAAGGGGCTGGGGCAGGCACTATCACAGCTAGAGCCCTAAGGTGTGGGCAAGGGAGGCACTGAACCCACAGGGCACCCCACAAGTGATTGGTTAAACCCAGAGGCAGAGCTGAGGTCTTCCCTGGCCCCATCCCGCTCTTTGCCCCGTTCTCGCCACATGTACTCAGTCTCCACTCATAGTGGCATTCAGCTGTCACCCTTTCTTGAGCATCAACTTTAATCCAGACACTGCTCTGGATGCCTTACATACTTCACCCCTACTCTGCATGATAGCCTTGCAAGTTAGCATTAACCAATTCCTTTAACAAAACTGAGAAAACTGAGGTCCAGAGAGGTTACAAGCCTCCCCTAATATGAAATAACTAGTAACTGTTGGAGCCAGGACTTGAACCCAGGTCTTTATGAATCTGTGCTCTTTTTATTCACTACAAAGCATAAGAATCCACATCCATGCACTGCTCTGAGCTCTGCATAGCACTCACGTCTGCTCCCTAATCCAGTCTCTGATAATAATAACTAACATTTATTGAGCACTTACTGTGTGCCAGGTCCTGTTCTAAGTGCTTTAATTCTTACAAAGATATTGTGTGAATATATTTGTATGAACACAGAGTCAAATTGTCAAACGAAAATCTCAAGAATTCGAGATCTTACCCAGAATCAAACTTTACTAATAATCACAGGATACAGGTTGTCACAAGGCACAAGTGAACTCCAAAGCCCTCCAGACAGCTTCCCAGTTCTTCCTTACCACATTAGGGTGCACTTTGTCCAGATTTAACACAGAAGGTCTCTAGAAAAGACATGTAGGGCATCACTTAATGAAAGAAGGTATGTTATTTATTTTTAGACTCTGATAATTCCATAGCTGAGACTGACATTTTCCAATCTAGGCAGACCAGGAACAGCCCACTACAAGCATTCTATACATAAGAACTTCTTACCTTTCTGCCAGAAAATACTATCATAAGTTTGGATTAGCAAATTTACATCGAGAATGGACTAGTCCATTTTTTTCTTTGGTTTCTCTCTCCCCATCTCCGGGGATAGAAGATGGGTTTCATATCAGCTGCTAACCTCTTTCTTCCCAAACTAATCTTATTCTCATCTTATAGATTAAAAATAAAAAAACAAAGTTGAGATTGATGAAATAATTTTCCCCAAATCACACAGCTAAGAGGCAAATGCTGGATTTCAGTCTTCACCATCTTGTCCGAGCACCTATGATCTTAATTCTTACACATGCACCTGGCTGATGCTCATTAGTTGTTAGCTGAAAATTGAGTGGAATTAGGCCCATTTTGAAATTGACTCGCAAGGTTAAAAACTATTCAGAGGAAAAATAGCCTACCCAGAGAATCTGAGGTGAGAGGAAGAAGCTTCTATTTTTATGTTCCTAGAATAGGATTACTCTTGGGCATTATAAATGAGTCCTGCTTGTATCTACATGGAAAGATATAATTTTGCCATTTGTCAGATCTCCTTGGCTGAAGGTGAATTAAAAGCATTTTGATTTTCATGGTTTCCAGCCAGTCCTGGTTCAGGTATTTTCTCAACACAGAAGTCAGGAGCAGTCTTTGGTCTTTGTGTCTCAAACTCACAGACATCTAAACCACAGCTCTTAGTATTGAAAGGAAGGCTGGGCTGTCACATGCAGAGCTTTGCAATGAACCGAGGCAGAACAGAAACACGGGAACGATTTCACAGCAGGAGGGACCTCAGAGATCACCTGGCAAATAAGGAAACATTTCAGGGGAATGGAATGAATTAGAATTAATGCAACTCATATTTGGAAAAGACCATAAGGATTTTCTAGTGCAGTCATTTATTAGAAGCTTAAATCCCAGCTGTGGTTTCCCGGCCAGGAATGTCTCCAGCCATGGCTTGATTGCTTCTGTAGATGACGAACTCA